CAGGTGTCTACGATTATTTTTAATTCAAGAAACATCTGGGCAAGTTATTTAAGTTTATGCAACACTTATTGCCAGCTCAATTTGCAAAAAAATAGCTTGGGTTTTGTGAAATTATTTCGCTATAAAAAAGCTTTCTTTGACTGTACAGTGATGGCTTAATTTAGGCAACTTGAATAATGATGGGTTTGGGAACTGGCACTTTTAACTGCTTCATAGTCTACGCCTTATTTCTACAAACATGCCTCTAAACTACAGTGTTTAGCAATATTCTAATTATCTGCAATTTTCATGCATGAAAAAGTGTAAAACCTTGGAGGCTGGAATAGATTTTTTTACCATGTTTTACAGTGCAAGAGACAGGTCCCTGATTCGAGCTGTGTGATGGTGCTGCAGCACAAGCAGTGGGATGACAGTACTCTGACCACTATAGGTCTTCCAGGCTTGGTTACATGATGCACTCTGGGTTCCAGCAGCTTTGGGTCACTACCATGAGCCCAGCTGGTGGAACCAGAACTGTTGGTGTAGACTCAGACTCTCCTTTAGATGCCAAGCACTGCCCCAGCTTCTCTGGGGAAGAGATCAAGGATAGGAACTAGCCTAGACATAGAACTGAGAGCAAGTATTTAAGAAACCCCAGCTCTGCCCCACTGTGCAGTGGCTCTCCAACCTCTGAAAGAGCCATGCAAGGCCAAAATGACTGAAAAACCCCTCCTCATGTTGGCATTAGTGCCAGCTGCATCCCCTTGCTCCCCTCACACCACACAGCACTAACATCCTGCTCTAGCAGCATTTAAAAATACATCACTTGAGATATCTTGGTTGCTCAGGTGGCAGCAGAGGGAAGAGCCCTGCCCCAGCATGGGCAGGAGGTGGCCAAAGTCCTGGTCCTTTAGATGCTCTTCTGCCAGCTCCCACACAGTTCCATACACTAACCACAGAGTTCCCATCTTCTCCTAAGCCTGCTGGAATGACACATCCACCTCACTGGAAGGTGTGTCTCACATGATCATGGAGCTTAGACTGCTCACTCTCTCTTCTCTGGCCCTGTTAACTGAAACTTCCTTGTGACTCACAGGAGAGTCACCACTGTGCTCTAGGGTGGAGCAGTTAACTGACTTGCTGGCTGAAGATTGTACTGTGACATTTTCTACTTATAAAAAAAAGACTGGCTTGCCTTATGTATTAAGGTTGAGGCTTTGCTTCATTATTCACTGCAAGTATCCGTGGGGGAATAGGAAAAGCATCCTCCAGCAGTCAGCAGTGAAAGAGAGAGCTGAAATTGGATTCATCCCCTCCTCACACACAGCTGGGCTCATGCAGGCAGGAGGAGTCACTGGCTCCTGGCCCTGTGCAGCTCCAGAGCCACCAGTTTGCTCACAGATCTGTACCAGAGCAGAGCAGCTCAGCACTGCCTCAGCACATCAGCTCTCCATCCCAGCTCTGACAATACGGAGAAGAAGGAATCCATGAGACACTGAGCCTGTGGGGAGTTCCCCAGGGCCTTGTTTCTACACAGCATCCTAACTGCAGAAACAGCTGTTTCCAGGTTCCTGAAATACCGTTCTTTCCACAGCACTAACACATGTCCTGAGGAACACATGAAGGACTCCCAGCTTCCACCAAACGTAGCCACGGGTTGCACGTGCCTGTGCAACCTGAATGCCAAAGAACACACAGCACAGGCAGCCCAGAGCAGGCAAGTGCATCAGGACACCTTGGAACTCGACCAATATTATTGCCCTTGCTCACATCTCTGTGTACCCTGCAGGCTACAGCCATGGGCACCAGAGTCTTCATGTACTTATGCTCCCCAGGATCTGCAGTCTTCATGTGTTAGGCAGTCAGGGCTCAAAATCCTTCCACATTCCTGTAATGCTCTGGCATGCAAAGAAGTGGGGCTGGGTTGGGGCTTTTTATAGGGAAGAAAGGAAGCAAATGACCAGGATCTCAGTTTGACATGAATTTACTTACTTTAATAAGTATGGAGCCTCATGATTTCAGGAGGAAGCTTAGCATCTCTTAAAATAAGCTCTAGATGTCCTTTAATGTTGGTACTTAAAAGGGGATTGAATCACTTGGTTCTAGGAACTCCAGTTTGACTCAAGTGTCCAGTATCTGTTGGCAGTTCAGCTGTTATCCAAAGAAGGGGAGGGAAAGCCAGGATTTTCCAGCCCTGAGAAACAGCTGTACTCAGAAGAGGCATGCAACAGAAAGGATAAAATTAATTCAGTCCCAGCCCTGTTTGAGAGCTGTTCCCAGCGCTGGGTGCAGAGCCCAACTCACCGCAGGGCTGCAGGGCACACCCCGCTAGGCGGCCCCAGAGCCACGCCAGGAGGGACCTCTGCTCCCCCTGGACCCGGGGACCTTCCAGGCACTGGAAAGGTGATTTGAAAGGAGAGCTATTGAGAGCCCATGTCTTCACGTTGCACTGGCAGTGGGACGTGTCCCCTGAGCAGTAACATCCCAGTCCGTGCAGCCCAGGGACACCAACATCCCAGTGACTTCACCGTGTGAGCCACACACAGGGTGTGCTTGCACATGGTCACCAGCTCCTCTGGGACATGTCTTACTTAATTAACAGGCCAAGCTTTCCACTCTGCCTTTTCCTACATTGAGGCTACTGTTGCCCAAATGCCATGACACTGAGATGACTGATGTTATTTTCCTTGTGACAGCCTGCTCTGTACAATGGACAAACTTATCTAAAACTCAGGAAAGACTTTAAACCATGGAGCTTGTACTGTAGCACACAAATTTCAGCAGCCATGCTCTGCTCCATGCTTGAAAGTCTTTGATAATCCCAGAGGAAGCCTGTTCTTGAAAGCCTTGAAAGCTTTCTGCCCTTCCTGAACAGCATGTGTGGAAGTGTCCAGAGGAGTTCCATGCAGTTTTTGAGATGCAAATCTAATATCCTACATACTCAGCTTCAAACACCTAATGGACAGAAAATGAGCCTTTGAAATAGAGCACTTCAGTGCTTCATGTTCTGAAAATATGCTACAAAAAATTGGTCTTTGAAAGGTACTCCATGTTCAGGTGCATTTCTACAATTTAGAAAGACTCTCAGTAAGCTGCAGATCCAATCTGGATTCTGCAGTTTCTGTAATTACCCTGTCACTGGCTAGAATAACCTCTTCCAGCTATTTCCTTATTTTCATAATATCTTATCCAATGCAAACCTGCCCTTCTTCCCACCCAAATAGCAGTCATTTTAAAAAATCATTCCACAATTTGAAATTACCACAAATTCCCTTGTGATCTAATGGGTCATCTCAGAATCCCTGGCGCCTGGGAAGAGAAACAAAGTAATTTTTTCTCACTTCCTACAGAAGTCTTATTCTTCACACCCCAGGAGCAACAGAGAAGCCACTTTCAAATCACATATTCAAGTCATCAAATAACTCACAACTAGGAAGCTCACTACTGAAGTGGTGACAATTTTCCCACTTAGCCATATGGCACAGAAGAAATACAGCTCCAGACTGAGCTTTCTCCAGCCCACTGCCTTTGTGAAAGCCTCATTCTTTGCAGTCCTATGTTCACATCACTGTTAAGCCATGTTGGCTAGTGCCACAAGATATTCAAGTGTCTAGCATTCTCTCCCAAAGCTTGAACACCTCTAGGAAAAGGAGTAACACCATCAGGTAGATGCAGATGGCTTGCAAAATGCATCACATTCAAATTGACTGAAGGTTGTTAGCCTGTATATCTATTTGAGCCTGTTTTCTAAATAAAAGATGTGCTGGCACATTACTATGATACACCAACTTTGGTTTGTCTCACTTCTAAGACTAAATTTTAAAATGTTCTCCTCCCCACTACACACACACTCTATAATGCAGTGCATTTCAGACCCAGCAGATGCTCATTTTTTTTCCTAAAACAGATTTAATGGGTTTTCCATGATCTAAACACCTGGCAAAAAGGCTCCATGCAGCTTTAATACTTTCCTAACCGTGTTAAATTCGTCCTAGTGTTGCACATGGCATAATTCTGCAGCCATGTCAACTATTCAGGTAATGCTAGAATGTCGTCATTATGGTTTGTGTCAACAGCATGATCTGTATGTACCTTGTAATCATTCTGGTGTTGGGTTGCAAAGGTCCTTGGACTCTTCATTTGGCTGAGTCTAATTCTGTCCTCTTCACAAAGATCTAGAGTTACACTAAGTAAAGGCTGACATTTACATGAGACACTGGGACTGCTAGAATGACTCACCAAGGTAAAAACTTGTCTGCATATTCTCTCAAGGGTGTAAGCTGCTCAGTGCTGATCTGCTGCAGAAAGCCTCTGTGCTTGGCAAGGCAAACAGGGACAGAGGGGCACGTCATGCATGGAGCTCAGCTTGATCTCAGGAATCTGAAAACAGAGAGTTAAAGAAGCCTAGAGCAATCCCTCATAACTTAAAGTGAGATATGCCAGAGAGAAAACAGCTATTTCAGAGTGACCTTCCAGTGTTCTCCTGGAAGTTGAATGACCTCTCCTCTCTCCCTTCTACTGCTGTGCTGGACAGCCAGGCACAGCCTCCCACACAGGACAGCTCTGCACTCCCACAGCAGCCCACTGTGTCAATCACAGGAAACCAATTAGTAGCAGCAGGGCTGGTAAGAGTTGCAGTCAAGAGTCCAAATGCTCTTAGTACATTTACTCTCCCAAATTCACTTTGCCCTTTAAAGCAGCACCTGGCACCACATTCAGCACACTTCAGGGTCCTGAGCCCCAGTGTCATTAGGTCTCAAACAAAACCAGACAGTTCAGGCTAAAACAATGACTGTTCCAGTGATTAAGCTTATAAACCCTTTATCTGTTTCTATGAACTCTTCTTCATCCAAATATAAAATAAACAGTGAAAGCATCCAACACACTCATGAGAAGCAAACTGTGAGAGCACCTACCATAAACAATGCACACAAAGGATGAGTTTATCTACACACCAGGGGGCTGCAAGCAATGTGGATGTCAAGGATGCTTTAAACAGTAGACACCTATAGCAGCCCAGCATGAAGAGACTTCCCAATGATGAGGTCTCCTCTCACCTGAGTGAAGAAGTCCTGCTTTGGCAGGTTAGTGTAGCCTCCAGTGAGCATGGGAAGCTGCAGCACCACATCTATAGCTGCCTGTATTTAGGGTGTAAACACTGCCATGGCATCTCACATGGCATCAGTCCAGCTTCACTTGCAATTCTGACAGCCATCATCCTTGGCCATGGTCTCTGCCATGGCAGAAGGTCTTAGCAGTAATCATCACATTGAAGAACTAATACCTTGCAACTGAGTAAGTGGCTTGAGCACAAATTTGTGAGCTAGTGCTATTCCTGTTTAGTGCTAAAGTTCAGTGCCTGTTTTATCATGGCTGGAAACATGTCAGAAGCTGTTCTTATTCAGTTCAGTAGACCAACCTCTCTCCAAGATACTTCTTCTTGCTCCAGATAAAGTGTGTCCAACTTTTCTGAGAAAGCTTCCTGGAGTATCTCACTGTGCTTTGATCTTGAACCACAGCCTGCCACAGTCCCACCTCTGACCATGTCACTCTTGCTAAGGGGCACATCTGTGCCTTCTGCTTCTGTGCATGTCTCGCCTGACTCCAGGCTGATCACAGATTTGGAGACAGAGTGGAACAATCAAGAGTGATGGCATCATTTACCTGAAGTCCTGGCTCACTGGGGAGGTCCCAATGGACTGGAGGGTAGCAAATCTAACACCCATCTATAAGAAAAGCAGAAAGGAGGATCCAGGCAACTATAGACCTGCCAGTCTGGCCTCGTAACCACGGAAGGTCATGGAGCAGATCATCTTGAGTGTTACTAGAAGACATATTGAGGACAATGAGGGGATCAGGAGCAGCCAGCATGGGTTTATGAAAAGCCCTTTTTTTTTGGAGGAAAAATAGAAAGAAACAAACCAGCCAATTTTACAGGTCCTGCAAACTAACTATACTGACCATGACCTGATAAACTGCAAGGAGACAAATCAAACAGCATTGCAGGCATCTGTGGTGGAGCAGAGCCAGGATTGGTTTGTGGCGGGAACCCAGGGCAACTGAATAACATTGGCTTCCCATGCCCTCCTCCCACATCCAAGGGCTTGGGATCATCCAGCAGTCCTTGCATCACAGCACAGCCCTGGTGTTGGCCACATGAAACAACCTTGGACAGGAGCCATCCTTGAACTGCTTGAGAGATACTTATAACTCAAGAGCAACAGATAGAAATATGAAGGCCATGGGTGGTGCAAGCACACGTGTAACTGCTTGGCTGGATCCCAGCCAGTGGCAACATGCTGCAGGTTTAGGTGAGGCACACAGGGACTTGTTCTCACCAGACATGTCTTGATGCCTCAGAGCAGCCCATTGTCTCACGTGGCTGCATGCTGCTGTCACACGACTACACCAGTCAGTCAAATCCAACCAGACTGCAAAATACCCTTCACTGTAATCAGGCCTGTTTTGGAGAGGGATGGAAAGCAGGGGAGAAAGAGAGAACAGATCTCACATAACAAATTTAGCCCAAACTGCTATGCAAAGCCTCTGAGCAGTTCAGATGCATATACTGATTTTATTAGATGAAGTGGGTGCTTTTGTAGCCTCCTGACCTGTTTGAATTAATTAAATCCTAGACTGTTGAGGTGTCCCCATATCTCTACACCATGCAACTGTCTGCATCTCTACAAAGGTGACTCCAAAGAGGGTGGCAGTCAGGTAGAAGACCCCAAATTTTAGTTACCCTACCTACTCTGCCTTAGCCACTGATCACTAAACAACAAACAGCTTTGTAAGCACCTGCCAATACCTTAAGGTACTGTTTGCATGACTGCAGAAACAAGGCACAAACACAGGACTTGGCTGTATGTGACAGCATCAGCTACCAGACAAGGTAGAACAAGGCTCTGAATTTTACTCTGCAGGTGCTGAGAGTGAGAGAGGGTGAACAGTGGCTTAATGAATGAGGAACACAAAACCCAGAGCACCCTTGAGCAACTCAGCACCTCAGACACATTGCATAACACCAGAGATCAGCAGGGGACAGTTACTGCATCTACAGCCAGCAGAAAGTCAGTTCAGTTATTCCATGCCTTATCCTTGCTGACAAACCAGGTTCAGGTCCTTCCCTGCAGCTGTAGCTCCGGGCACACAGAGGCAGAAGCACCATCCCCACACCTAACACATGCTGCTGCCTCTCAGACCAGAGCCACATTTTTATGTTCCCTCCAGGAGCAGAGGATATGACAACAGCACTGCTGCTGCTGCAAGTTATTTTTCAAGATCAGCATTTTAACTGATGCAGCTGTGCACATGAGAAACAGCAACATGAGACCACTACCCTGCAGTGCTCCACCAAGAAAAATCTCTCTTGCTGTAGTAAAAGGGAAACAAAGATAAAACCTGTAAACTTTTTAATAAGAAGCTACCATTAACCACTTTTCTTGCATAATCTGGGAAATCCCTGGGTAATCTGCTCTAGGGGATCCTGCTCTAGCAGGGGGGTTGGACTAGGTGATCTCCAGAGGTGCCTTCCAACGTCAGCCATTCTGTGACCCTGTGTGTGTGATTCTGTCAATCCATTATGCTACAGTCCATACATGAGAAGGATCTGGAAGCTGGTTTATGAGGTACCATTGTCACCTGAGGTAAAGTCACAAGGGTTTTCTTTACTCTTCCCTTGTAATGAAGAAAAACCTTGACTATGGAGTCAAGTTTCATGGGTGACTTGAGTCCATACCAATAACCTTGGTTAAATGTCTCCACACTCTAGCAGTGACCTAAGCCTACTCTCAAATACTAAGGATGCTTTTCTCTGGCACGTACCATTTGCTCTCCAGCCAGCATATGCTCAGTTCACAAAACAACTATCACTGTGTTGTAAGGAAAAGGAGATAGTTCTACACTCACTGATTTATGTTTGTCTCTCCAGGTTCATAGGGAAACCCATAGGCTAAGCTTCCTCGCAAGTCTCAGCATCCTGGCACAGCCAGAGGAATGTCACAGTAAGTGCAAACATTGTTGGGTCCAGTGCACTCAGTCTCTTGAAGTCTCAGTCTCCATCCTGCCTTGTTAATTTTCACACACACACATTAGGAAAAAGAGGAAAGCCACCAGTGTTTTCCTGACCATTGGTTCCTCAACCAATTCAGTCCACTTGAGTTATACTACTTTAATTCAGCCATTATCTATTTACCCTCAAAGAGTAAGTTACACTTTTTTTATTTGTTTTATAGTATTTTAGAAATATTTTACAAGGACCAGCTCAAGCCAATCCTTAGTCACTTAAGCAAGTGACTAAGAGGCAAGGGTCAGCATAACTATCAAGATCTAGAGCCTAAGCTCTGGAAAAGGGCTTTCTGGCTTGGAATATCTCCTAGCCAGAATTGCTAAGGGAATTGATGGAGCAGGGGACAGGGCTGGAAAGTCCCAAGAGGCTTCCACACAGCTTAGCTATTTGTCAGCCTACTTCAAAGATTCACTTCAGAATCACTTCAGATAGTTGATTTGGAACACATGTTTGGTCAAGAGCTGGGGAATTCAGATGACCTAGAAACAGACTTACATCTTAACTCAGGCGGAGAGGGAAAGAGCTGATAACTTGGGTTATTTCAGAGAAAAGAGAGATTATAAAAAAAGACTAGTGCCACAGCAAAACAAACCCAAGCACTTCAGTTGTACATTTATATGCAAGATTCAAAAGCTAAACGAGACAGATTCAAGTGCACATCCACAATTCACCATGGAACAAGGACATTATCTTGCCCTGCAAGTGTTTGATCATCTTAAAGCTGCCTTTCTGGCTTAATCAGAGACCTTGCAGCAACCTCTGCATCAGCTGATCTTTAACGGAAGATGGCAGGACAGAGTAACAAATTCCTGCTTATTTCTCTACCTTCAGCCTCAGTGTAGTTACCACCACACAAACCAAGAAGTGTTAGACCTGGGTAGGATCAACTAAACCAGGTGGGGGTCTCTGTAGAAGGGGACAACTACTGACAAGCAACACTGATCACAGAGACTACAAGATGTGGGCAATTAACTGGCTTACAGCCATAAGACCAGCAACACTTACCAGTTATCAGCTCCTCTTCCCACTGACTTGGTGTTCACAGTCCGGGGAGACATTTCCTCTTGAACACTTGAATGGAAACTCTCCACAGGGTATTTATTAAGCTGGCACATGAACAACAGATAAAACGCTCCATCATCTTCTTTTGTTTCAAAGTAAAGTGGCAGCAACACAGCTGGGTTTCTGCATATGAGAAATTCAAACTATAAAAATCACTTTTCTTTGCTGTATAGATGCAGAGTCCCTCAGCAAGCCTGACTGGGTCTGCCTATGGAAGCACACCTGTGTTCACAAAGGTAAAGACCACAGGTTTTCTGGACAACACAGCTTGTTCTGCAACTGCTGGTGTTAGATTTTGAGTTTTCTTTCTCCATCAGAAGGTGTTTCAAGGCTGGAACCACCGGTTCATTCACAATTCAAAAAAGCCAGCATGCTCCATTAGTGAATGCTATCAAACTAACATCTTAATTGGTAAAGAATCCAGACAGAACCACTTAAATTAATTACTTTAATTTATGAGCTAAAAATGGAGGCTGAAGTAGAAACCTCTCATAGTAACCTCCTTTATTACGTTGTGCCCACTGGAATAGATATTTTCCCTGCATTTTTATCTTTATTTAAATGCCTAAGCAAGATAAAGCCTTTTCATGAGGTCTGCAGGTGAAAAAAACCTCCAAAACCCACTGCAAATGCATGCAGAATTAAGTCAGCTATTTTAAATAAAATTAAAATATGGGCATGAGATCATCTTCTTCACTGAAGGGTGCATCATTCCATAATAATTGCGTCAATGGGGAAATGTCAGCCATTTAACACCAGTTTTTCCTCCCCCAGGGTCTACAAAACATAAGAGCTACGAAGGGTCAATTAGTGGTATTTGAATGTCGCATCCGCGCGACCCCCAGCTCACAGGTTCACTGGTACAGAGAATATGATCAGATAATAGACTCTGCTGACTTCCGAATACTGAGGAAAAGTAGGTATTACTGTCTGCCTGATGCACAGTGATTTTGTTGGGACAGTGGAAAGACAGGAACGAGAACTGCTACCAACATCAGGAGCTAGAAGGTGTTGATAGGGGCCAAGTGCGGCAACGCGTGAGCAGAGGCACAAAGGGAGGGGACTGCTGTGCTGGTAGCTACTAATGGAAGTGCTACTGAGCCGTAACACCGTGTCCCCATTTATTAGAACTAGTGGTGAGCTCAGGAAAAATAAATAAAAAAAGAAAAAAGCACATTTTAAACATTTATCATAGCCCCCAGCATGAGGTCGTAGCTCCAGAGGGCCAAATTCACAGCAACCAATTCTAAAGTTAGGGGAACTCTTTCTATACCACCTCAGTGGAGAAGTGGTTCCTCAGCCAAACCTGAGCTTCCCATATTGGGATGGTATTTCTCTTGATGAATAGAAAGGCAGATGGTCCCTTTTGTAACTGGGGTGCAAGCTGAGGTGGGAAAGGAAATGAGGGCTGAAGGTCTTACTCCCATTCTGGCATTATAACAATTTAATTTTTTCTCTCTTGTTTTGAGCAGAGGCTTGTTCATCAGCAGTTCCTGGTAAGTATGCTGCACATTTTTGGTTAGACATCTCATTGGTTAATTACCCCACACTTAATTTTTTGCACCTCATCCAACATAAAACAATAATGTTGAAAGGGGGGCCAGAGGACAGCACTGAACTCAGTGTAAGGCTGAGAGCTTTCACATTCTTAGTTTTAACACAAGCACCTGAGAGACCTTGATTTTTTTTCACAACACAATAAAAAAGGTACAGTCCTTTTCACATTCAGTCAGGGAAGAACACCCTGTATGTTAAGGGAAAACATATCAACCATTCTGACCTTTAGTATTTTCTGGGATTTAAACTTGTGCAAGAGAAGACAGAATTTAGTAATTGTTCCTTGTTTCTTTAAAGTCACAGGAAGGAATATCCTTCCTTCACCTTTGCTCTTCTGAATCCCTTGTATTCCCATGCCTTTTACATCACTTTTTTTGCATTTAATTGCTGCCAAGACCCATCACAAAGTAGCAGTCCTTCTGCAAGGACCACTTCCTACAAGTTAACATTTGGCTTTTATGATGCAATAGTACGCCTGAATTTGTCATTTCAGAGGAAGTCTGCACCCTGGTTATTACAGAAGCTTTTCCAGAGGACTCTGGAATATTTAAATGTGTTGCTGAAAATGAATTTGGATCTGCAGCATCCAGTGCACGTCTCTCCGTTTCCCCAGGTAGGCACATGAGTCTCTTATCTGAGCAACTAAGCTCAAGAGAATTTGCTGCTGCTCAGCATCAGGCAGAGTCACAGATACTTGTCAAGCAGAAACCAGACCCAGACACTTTCATAGGCTCAAGAGAAGTAAAATGCCTCAAAAATGCAGTCTGCTTGGGTACCTCTCAAAGCCCAGATGCAAGTTGCTCTGCAGTTCTGCTTTTGGCCCCTCCTCCTGGGTAATAGATGACAAGGTAGAGATGTTGTTCTCTCTCACAGAGAAGTTTCACCCCTGCAGGAACCCAACCTTGGCCCAACTGTATCTATACCTTATTTCTTGTAACACAACTTGCCTGGCTTGTGCTGAAAGCTATCTCCAAACAGGACAGCACCTTGCAGGTACACCAAAGCTCAGCAGCCCTGGTGAGATGTCAGGTTTGGCTAATGCGGCCATGCAAGTTCTGGTCTGTGCAGAGCCCAGGCAGGTTGAACTCTCATTCACCTGCACAGACAGATCAGTTTCCTCTTACCAGAGCACACTGTACTGGTGAACCACCACTGCCTTCCACCTGACTTGTGGACAATTCTACTTCCAGGAGCAAAAGAGCTGGAAAGCTTTGCAGGTGCTTCCCACAGGCCAGCTGTGCAAGTCACCATGAAGAAACCCACCTTCCCTAGGAACACCCAAACAGGAGCCAAGGACAGAGATGTGGCTGGTCTGCCATCCTACAGCACAGAGACCCCAGGGCTGGCCAGACGAGCAGAAGCCACAGACTTTGGCCAGATGAATTCCAAGAGCGAAGCTGAGGATTTTCATGGAGCTTATGAGAATTCTCCTCAGGCTTCACCACTGCGGTAAGACAGAGAGAAAATCACATCCCTGGGGTAGTTTTGCACAATACTGAGGGGATGAACTTTCTAGTGAACAAAAAAATACAACTGCAAAGCTTTGCACTTCTTGCATTGCTAGTTATTTTATTTAATTGTTCCAGAGAAGCAGAACAACTTAGATCGCACACCTTAGCAATTCCATCTCAGATTTGTGCAGTATTTCTCAGGTGTTTACAGGCATAACAAAGACATCAGATGGTGACAGTTAAAAAGTCCAAGCCCAGCACTACAGAGGAGTTTCCTCACCCCTGTCTGTGAAGGGCAGAGCTCTGAGGCAGACATGTGCCTCATCTCTCACCCAGTGCCAGCCCTGCCCCACTGCGATCCTTTCACACCGGGTGCCAGTGGCTGCCCGGACAGCAAGCATGCCCTGGGTTACAGGTTATTCTTGGTTGTACTCTGCCACTTTAACTAAACAGGTCATTTTAACAATTCTGAACACACTCCTCCAAATTCACTACAGGAGAGATCACATTTCATTATAAATGTCTCTGTGCACAGGGATTATCTTCCTAAATCACTGAGTAAAATTGTGTTTGCTTCAATAACCTGCAGACAGCCAGGAGCTAGCTCAGCTAAACTCCCAGTTTAGCTTCAGGCCCTTCCAGTGAAACCCAGGCTTGTTCCTGGGAGATCAGCTGGGACCCTAAGCAGACCCAACTGCAGAATCAAAACCCTGGCTGAAGCAAACGTGTGGACCTGAGAAGCCTGCAGCAGCACAAAGCCTGCAGCCTGCCAGGGAGCTGAGCGTGGGCTGTTGTTGTCCTCAGACATCACAAGCCAAGGACATGAATGTGGCCCCGAATTCAAGGCAACTCATGCTCAGCTGCCTCAGGTCCAAGCACCTAGAAGATAAGGCTGAATTTGCTTGGGAGGATCTAATGCAGACTAACACTGCATCTTTACCTGATGATTGTTTCAAACAAGGGCAGGCTGTTAATTGTCTGACAAGTTAAAACGAAAGCCTTCTATAAAATCTTGGGCATAATTGCCTCTTGGAATGAACAGGGGCAGTAAGAGACATTTGCCAGCTGTCCTTTTAGAATAGGACTAGTTTCTCCATCCTCTCCAGACTTCTCAAACGAAGCAGGAAACCTGTGTTTTGACATTTCTAACAAGCAACCTGTGAGGAGGTTCTTCTAGATGATTCTGCTTAAGGACAACTACTTCTAAAGTTTATTGCCTGCAGCAGTACCAGTGAGCTGTGGCTGCATTTTTATTTTTATAGTTCTGGTTAGTTTGAAATGCAGTACCTGATGTCCTGCATGAAGGGATATAGCAGATCACCAAAATCAGCTATATAACAGCTTTTAAAACTTTTGGTTATATAAAACATGATTGACAGCAATGCTGAACCAGATTTTGGAAGGCATTTACATGTCTCAAGATATAGAGAGAAAAATATTACATCACTAGATACCTTCATCTATGAGCATTTAAACATCCTTAAAGCCCAGTCTTATTGCCATGTGCTTTGAAACATTATGAATGGGACTCAACATTGCAAATGTTGCTCTACCTCAAATTAAGCAATCATCTCTAATGACAAGCTGTGCTGTAACTGTCTTGTTCGACAGATTTAGCCATATAACTCTCTCATGTAGTGTATGTGGTTGCAACTGTATTAGCAAAGGTGAAAAAGAAACACTGGCAAAGGCAGCAATGACAGAACAAAGCTATTACTGGGTATAACTATAATATGAATGAAGTCCTTGTACTTGTGCTTCTCCAAATTATTGCTTAGCAACAGCCACTCTACAAAAGCTGGAAATGCAATTCTAGACGACTGCCACTATCAGCTACTCCCTTCTGAGACCTTTTTATCAGCAGCTCGGTGTCCTTCTCAACAGCAGAACAAAATCTACACTGATTATTAACTTTATTAAAGGAACGTAATCTAATAGTGACTTAATGCACTAATTATACTGCCAGGAATACTTTTAGGTAGCTTTTAAGATTTCTTAATAAGCAAAAGATCCTTAGCTTTCTTTCCTAGCTATTTGTTGCTGTATGACTCAAGCAACTAGGAGAACCCGATCAGACAGGACGTGTCACCATTCACAGAAAGTAAACCGACACAGGACAGACAAGCTGGTCTCTAACACCTCGCAGTGCTGGGCAGAGTACTACTAAGTCACCCCAGAGCAACCTACGAGATTTATTCCTCTGCCTTTATCACTTCTGCTTCTAGTTCTTTCAAATTTTTTTCCCTACCTTCTGGATGCGAATTTTTCTGTTCCTTTTTCACCCAAGTGGTCCTAGCTGCATCCAGCCGTTTAGGCACATAAAGCTGTCCTTAGGTGACGTCTTGCAGCCAGCGAGCTCTGAACCAAGCATCCTGCACCCTCCCTGAAGTCGATGGGAAGCCAGGGAGCCGGTCTGAGCACAGTCTGACCTTCCACGAGCTCGGAGCTTCCAACACGGCAAACGATCCCTTTTTTAAAATTACTCAACTCAGAGCAAACTACATCTTTTTAATTTTTTTATATTATTATTATTAACTTAGAAAGCAAATAACCTCTTCAACCACCGGGGACACATTTCCTTCCTCAATCACTTGCACCTCGAGGGATTTAAATAAATTAGCGCTCAATTAGCACTTGCTCTGTAGATGCAGTTTACAAACGATGGGCTGATGTTTAGATACAAACACTAAATGTGGATTAACTCTTGAAGATCTCTGAACTGAAAGACTCAGCCGTGCAGAGAAGAGGGACTGAAGGACCCCATGCAGCTGAGCTGCGGCACTTAAGGGGTTGGGGTTTTTAAACCATCCAAGGCAGGAGTTGCCAGAGTATAATTAAGATCCTTAAAACACTTTTATGTTCATTTAGGATGTAATTAAGCACTGAAGCCTTTGCTTAAAGGAACACAAATCACCCGATCTGCCAGCAGGATGTGCTGCCGTCTGGCGGGCTTTTAATCCAAATAAATATCTGTAGTAACACACACAAACAGCAAAATACCATCAAATAATATTTAGCCACCAAATAGATTTGGTGTCATTCGGTTTATAACCCCTCAGACACTCACCATAAACAATGTTCCTGCTCTTGATTAAGCTCCGGGCTAGAGCAAAGGTGCAGGCAGCACCGGGGGGGTGAAGGCAGGGGCACCCGCTGCTGGAGGGGTTATTTAAATGTTGCCATGATTATGTTTGATATATTATTAGTATATTTACATCTGGCTTTCAACTACCTGTTGCCTTTAAGTATGCAGCCTTAAAAGCGGTAACTGGGTTTTATCGCTGGAGAGGCAATTGGCTACAGCCAATTAGAGTATGAAGGGGAAAAGGAATTTCATTGAGGGAACCAAGTGGGATTTAGGGACGTTTAAGCACCTTGCAGCGATTCTTCGTCGCTGCTCCTTGACAGGTTACTAAGGGCAAAAAAAAAACCCCAAAGGAATACAATAATCTGCTTTTCAGTTCGCTAGGTGTGGAGCTGTGCAGCTCTTGCCCTGCTCCCGCTGCACACGGGTGTACCCGGGCAGGTCTGAGCTGCCCAGGAGGGTGATGTGCTGAGCAGGGGTACCTGCCCCAAAAAAACCGGCTCCCGTCCTGCAAGGAAGCGTCCCCTTGGAGCCGGGACTCTTATTCTGACGCGGTGCGAGCAGGGGGACAGGCAGGACCGCCGTGTCATCTGCTGGCAGCACATTAAAGCCTCTGGTCTTAAAACGCTACGCAGAGGGGTACAATGACAGTCCGGGTCAGTGAATGACAGTCCCTTCCCAAAATACTGGTTAAAGCCCAGGTGACAACTTCTAGACTGTAGGTAAGATGCTGTGGCTTGGGGTTTTTTTTCCACGTCAGTTGTTAGTTGGAGGCTGGACAGGGAGCTGCTGGAGAGGTCTGGGCGCTGGGTCATGCTGAGAGGAAAATGTCCCTTTAAGGTGTCAGAGGTAACGTGGGAGGCAACAAAGGGGGGGGGGGGGGGAAAGGAATTGTATTTTTTAGAAAGGAAAGTGTCTCTATTATTACTTACTGGTTTTATCTTCTTAAGGTCAATAGTCTCTAGATGTTTTTTCCCCGCCCATATCAAGGTGGGACGATTCAAGGAAAACAGAACTTGTCCCTTGCTGTGACAAGTGAATCTGTGCATTGTATCTTGTCTAAGTGCAGTATTCTAGGGAACAAACTAAATGCTGGTTTCTGTTCATCGTCTGTAGGTAAAATTAATTAATCTGTACTCATGTAGTGATATAAAACAAGATTCAACGAATTTTCTGCACCAGCAAATAAGAACATAGTGTGGACACATGAAAAAAAAAAAATGGAACCAGCTTCAAATTCCAAGAGCATGACAAGGGGAAAGCTAGGGAATTTTTACTAGAAAACCTATGTTTGCTTACAG